TGGTAAGATTCTATGAAACCATCAGTCCAGGACTTTTGTGTGCTGTGAGTTTTTTTATTTCTGCTTCAGTTTCACTAGCTGTTACCAGTCTGTTCAGGCTTTCTGCTTCTTCTTGGTTCAGTTTGGAAGATTATATGTTTCTAGAAATGGTTCATTTCAACCAGGTTTTCAAATTTCTTGGCACATAGTTACTTGTAGTAATTTCTTACAACCCTTTGTATTTCTGTGGTATCTGTTGTAATTTCTCCTCTTTAATTTCTGATTTTGTTTATTGGGATCCTCTCTTTTTCTCTTGATGAGTCTGATTAAAGACTTGTCAATTTTATTTATCTTTTCAAAGAACCAGCTCCTGGATTTCTTAATCCTTTGTATTGTTCTTTTAGTCTCTATGTCATGTATTTCTGCTCTGATCTTGATTATTTTCTTTTTTTCCACTCGCTCTTGGCTTTGTTTATTGTTGTTCCTCTAGTTATTGTATATGCAGGGTTAGGTTGTTTATTTGAAATGTTTCTATCTTTTTTAGGTAAGCCTGTATTGCTATGAATTTCCTTTTCAGGATTGCCATTGCTGTGTTCCATAGATTTTGGGATGTTGTGTGTTCATTTTCATTTGCTTCCAGAAACTTTTTTATTTCTTCCTTTATCTCATCATTAACCCATTCATTGTTTAATAACATGCTATTCAGTCTCTATGAATTTGACTCTTTTTGACATTTTTCCTTGATGCTGGTTTCTAGTTTCAAGCCCTTGTAGTCTGAGAAAATGCTTGATATCATTTCTGTTTTCTTGAAGTTGTTGAGGTTTGTTTTGTGTCCTATCATGTGTTCTCTCTCTGAAAATGTTCTACGTGTAGTTGAAAAGAATGTGTATTTTTGCTTCTTGGGAGTGAAAGGTTCTATATGTATCAGTTAAGGCCATTTGATCTGGAATGTGTTCAGTGCCACAATATCCTTGTTGATTTTTGGGGGGAAGCTCTATCCATTGTTGACAGTGGGGTGTTAAAATCCCCTACTGTACATGTTGCTGTCTATATCTTTCTTGTAGTCTTCCAATATTTCTCTTATATATTTGGGTGCTCCTATGTTGGGTGCATTCATTCCATTTACATTTAAGGTTATTATTGATAGGTACTTATTCATGGCCATTTTTCCCCTTTGTACCTGTGTTCTCTCTCTCTCCCTCTTTTTCTTCATCTCCTTAAAGCATTCCCTTTAGCAGGTCTTGCAATGCTGGTTTGGTGGAGGTGTAGTCTTTCAGCCTTCTTTTGTCTGGGAAACTCCTTATTTCACCTTCTGTTTTAAATGAGAGCCTTGCTGGGTAGAGTAGTCTTAGTTGCAGGCCTTTGTTTTCATTACTTGCAATATTTCTTACCATTCCCTTCTGGCTTATAGAGTTTCTGTTGAGAAGTCAGTTGCTAACTTTATCAGAGCTCCCCTGTGTGTTACTTCCTGCTGCTCACATGCTGCCTTTAAGATTCTCTCTTTGTCTTTGAATTTTGTCTCTTTAATTATGGTATTTCTTGAAGTGAGCTTCTTTAGGTTTATCTTGATTTGGACTGTCTATGCTTCCTGGACTTGTGTGACTTGTTCTCTTCAAATTAGACAAGTTTTCCATAATTTTTTTGAAACAGGTTTTCTATCCCTTGCCTCTCTTCTTCTCCTTCTGGTATCCCTATTATGTAGATATTATTACATTTCATGTTTTCCTGCATTTCCCTTAACCCCTCTTCATTCTTCATTCATTTTGAGTCTTTTTTCCTTTTCTTACCTTTCTGGAAATTTTTTTCTACTTTGTCCTCCAGCTTGCTGATTTGATCTTTGCTTCATCTAGCTTGCTTTGGATTCCTTCTTCTGTGTTCTTCAATTCAAAAATTGCATTCTTCATTTCCTCCTGGCTGTTATTTGATAGTTTCTGTGTCCTTTTTCATGCTGATATAGTTTGCAGTAAGTTCCTCGTCATTTCCCTGTAGTGTTTGTAATTCTCATTTAAATCTTTGAACTTCCTTATAACCATTGTTTTGAATTCAGTATCTGATAGCTTACTTGCCTCCATTTCATTTAACACTCTTTCTGGGGATTCTTCCTTTCCATTTGATTGGGGGTTGTTTCTTTGTCTTCCTATTTTAGAGACTTTTCTTGTTTGCTTCTGCTTCTTAAATTGATCTGTTTTGACTCCCTGACTTTGTGGTGTGAACCTCTATGGTAGGAGACCTGTGGGATTCAGTGGTGCAGTCTCCTTGATCTCCTGAAGTTGATGCTCTTGGGGATGCTCTTTATGCTGTTTTTGTTGGGTCTTTGGATGTAATTTGGTTTTGATTGTTGTTGGGTCATTCTTCGGTGGATCCTTCCCTCTAGCTGGCTGACTTCCACTTCACCTACCACATCTTGTGTGCTGTTGTGTAGACGCTGGCAGAACAAAACCACAAAACCCAGGGAACAAACCCACACCTGTAAAAATAACTCCCCCCCCAATAATCCCACTGTCAACGGCAAATGAACCAGTATTAATAAGGGTGTAAAGAGATTGAGACTACTATAAGAAAGGAGTGTGAGTATGAGATGACCTACTGAATGCAAAGTAATTTTGGGAGCATAGAGGGTGGGGTACTAATTAGAGTAGAAAATTGGAGCAATGCAAAGAGAGAAAGTAAAATTTACATTACATCATAAATAAAAAAGGAAATGTAGAAGATGGAATGGAGTAAGAGAAGGGAAGCATATAGTAGTATAGTTTAAACAGGAACTTCCTGTTTAAACAGGAAAAGGTTTAAAGAGGAAATAAAATGGAGAGAGAGAGAAAGAAAAAGAAAAGATAAATAAACAGTAAAAAAAAAATAGGGACCAAATTGGAGAGAAAGATCTACCACAGCACAAACTGGAGAGCATTATGCTAAGTGAAATAAACCAGATGTTGAAAGACAAATACCATATGATCTCACCTATACATGGAACTCAACAAAACAAACAAGCAAGGAAAATATAACCAGAGACATTGAAATAAAAAACAAACTGACAGTAACTAGAGAGGAGGGGGTGGGGGATAATAGGGTGAGGACCATAAACGACACATGGAGAAAGCCAGAGGGGGTAGGTTTGAGTGTGGGAGGTGGGGATTGGTGGAGTAGGGGGTTGTGGTGGGGTGAAAACAGAGACATCTGTACTTGAACAGCAATACAAACAGAAATGAACTAAAATTAATATAGGTGGAATGAAAATAAGAGGGGGAAAAAAGAAAGAAAGAAAAGCTTAAGAGATGTCTAGAGGAAAGGGAAGTGATTATGAGATGATAGAGGGAGAGGTGATACTAAGAGTAAGGAATGAAAACCAGGCTAAGACAGGGAAAAATAAAAATTTGAGATGAAGATAAAAAGAAAAACAGGACAGGGTGAAAGATAAAGAAAGAAAAAATAGGTTAAGACAATGCAAATTAAAATTTGAGACAAAAAAGTAAGAGGGTGACAGTAAAATTGAGATTTAAAATACAAAATTAGTGAAGATCTAGAGATAAAATTTAAAAAATGCAACAAAAACTAACCTATCCACAGCCAGTGAGGAAAGATTGCAAAAGGTGGAGAGAGAATGCGGATACTTTAAGAGTGAGAAAAAATGTGAGATGTCCACTGACAAGAAAATTTGTTTTGAGAGGCTGGACAGGGGAGAAATAATAAGAGTGAGGAATGGAAACAAGTTGTAGCAAGAGAGAAAACAAAATTTAAAATCAGAATAAGAGGAAAGAAGAAGGTAAAATGGGGTAAGAGAAGGAAGGGGTAAAATGTGTGAATTGAAATAAATTATAGTATAAAATGTAGTGACTTAACATGCACAGACTTAAAGGACAAGAAATGAATGTTAAAACGCTATGCAGGAAAGAAAATATCTGAAATCACGGAGAAGACCACGGTGGATTTTGTCTTGGTAGCATCTAGCATTTACCACTGTTTTTTCTTTCTGGATCCGCCTCTGGTGATACCAGATGGTTCCCCCTTCTGACCTTAGGGAGCCTTTTCAAGACTCCCAGGGATATGTCTGTGGCTGACTACTTCAGTTGTTAATCTATTCACTCTGCACTCAGCAGTCAGGCTTAAGCATCACAGAGCCCAGCAGAGTCACTCCTGGTGTTAGAGCTACTGCTTCCCCTTAGGCTGCTGCCACTGGGAGGGGAGTGCTCTGCCTGAGCACAGTGGCTGCTGTAGTGTGAGGGATGACTCAACACTGGGGTTCCAGCAGCTACTTTCTCAGTTTTCTCCCCAAATCTTCCATCACAATCTCTCCTCACGCATCTCTAGCCCACTCTACCCCTGTCTTTGCCAGAGACCTGGATAAGTGGCTGCAAATGAAAATTTATGTTTTGGCCTTTTAAATGGCTCTTTGCATCTCCAGCCATCCATCTCTGGCAGAGAGCAACTCTGCTGCTTTTTGCAGCTGGATGTTATCTGTGTACTCTTGGGGCTCTGGTGCTCTAGGCTGGGGATCCCAGCTTAGGATTTAGACCCCACATTTCTCACTGAAATCCAAGCATCTGCCTAATTATCCCTCTGGCATTGCTACCTTTGGGCACCCAGCCAGCCCTCTTGCATCTCCACCATACTCCCTATCTTTCACGTTGTGCTGAAGCTGATTCTTCTATGTATGTGATTATAAGGCTTCTCTCTCACTATTATTCAGTTGTTTGTTCTGGGTGATTTCTCCACAACTTAGTTGTAATTTGAGATTGGTCCTGGGAGGAAGTTAGTGTGGCTTCCACTCACTCCTCTGCTATCTTGGATCCCTCTGCCTTTGCTGTTGTTTTTAAAGAATGCACATAAATGCATAGTTTGAAAATCTGATTTTGTACCATTATGTCACTTTTAAAAATAAATTTACTTGTAGCAGTTATTTAGCTTTAGTGAATTTTCTATATAGATGTCTTAATTTTGGTTCCAAACTTTCTAATGATATTGGAGACTATGAATTTGCTAAAAAGTATCAGAAAATATCTCTTTCATAATAACTTTATTTTTAGGCACCCCAAGGTTTACTTGAAGCACTAAAACAGCATTTAGCTTCTTTGGAAGAGAAAAATGATGATTTTCCTCCTTCCAAGTAAGTTAATAAATATCTGAGTATAGGTTAATTTTGTTTCCCTCTAAATAAGTTCCCTCATTTCAACATGTGACTAAATAAATTATGGGCTTTGAGTATGATGTCATGCTATGCAGTGATTTTAAATTATAATACAGAATAGAGGTTTTCAATCTTTTGTGGGATTCCATACTTTTCACAAGGGCGATTGATTCCCAAAGGAACATCTTTTATTACACTGGGTGATTCTCCAAATCAGAGGTTGGGACTGGAATATCCCCTTCTTTTGCAGAATTTGATTTCCTCCCTTAAGGGCTGTGCCAATGAGCATAACTGTTGTAGATGATTATTTAATGGCATGGCAAACTGTTTAACTACAAAACAGTATACATAACATTCAAGGAATATATCACTTGGAAATGTTCCCACTAGTTATTTCTGAGTGGAAAATTATGATTGATTTCAATTTGCTTTTTTGTAGTTTTCAGGTGTCTAAAATTTCTGTAAAGGTCATGTATTATTCATTCATTCCACTTTTAGTTATGTTGCTTATACTTGATTTATATTATCACCTTCTATTAGACAACAAGTCTGTTGACTATTTCTTATTTACCTCTTCAGCACACATAGATGTATAATTAGTATATAGTTGGATGAATGGATTTATTGAAAGGTGGATAGATGGATGAATTAAAGAAATATAGGTTCAGTTATGTGATTCTATTTATTTGTGAGTGTGCCTCATCTTTCTTGTGATCTCTTAAGTCTCCAGCAATCATTGATTCCCTCCATCTCCAATAGTTCACTTGCGAAAGCTTCATCAAGCCAAGCTTTGCTTTCAGGTAATATTATGTGATTATGTCATATAACATGAATATATTATATGATTATGTCATATAATATGAATATTCTATAGTATTCAATATATAATATGAATATATTATATGAATGTCCGTAATAATTGAGGACAGGATTTGAATCTTTAATTCTTCCACTGCATAGCCATCTACTATTTCTGGTGCCTCTTTCTGAAAGCAGTCTTTGACCTAGCAATTTCACTTCTAGGATTTATGAAATATATATATATATATATATATATTCACAGTTGTGAAATGATGTATTAACAAGGATATCCATTGCAACATCCTAATTACAAAATGACTATAAATAAGGGGCTTGTTTTTACGTATTGAAGTAGAATGATAGCCAAGATGTATTGTTAAATGGAAGATGAGCGAGATGTGAAACAAAGTATAGTAAGCTACATCTTTGTTTTTGAAAACAGAAAAAGAAAGAATGTATGTCTATGTTTATATAATTTCTATATACAAAAAAATGAATAAAATACCCTTCCTCCAAAAAGAACTTGGTGGCTCACGGAAAGAGATAGGTGGGAGAATCTTCAATGTATACCAGCTTGTAATTTTTGGATTTTGTACATGCAAACAATTACTAATTTAAAGATAAATTTTATAAAGAAACATACATATATACAGTGTGATATCTTCTAATGCTTAACATGTAAGTCTGTTGTAATTTCTTAAGGTTAACTTGCTTCATACTTAAATAGTATGCTAGATACAGCTCACACCAGCTTACAAGATCCCACTGCTAAATTTTTGGGACTTTTACAAGCTGCTTGATGTCACATTAGTAACTTGAAATTGGTCATGATAGAAATATTTACACCACAGGAATGGACTAACACTACAAAATAGGCCTTCTGTTTTTTCCTGGAGAGCTGGTTGTTATATATTTACTGGTATATGACTGCTCATAATCAGTCATATTCTGTTTTTTAATGGGTGATAGTTTTTCAACATTACTTGATCCGCTAGACACACATCCATGTAATAATGAGCTATATGTGTCTGAATTAAAGATTTTTCTTAATTTAACTCACAAACTTAAACTGTATCTATTTTAAATGTTTTTGTTTTTCTTTTGTGCATATACTCTCAATGGATACACCTGCAATTTCTATGGGTGAGTTTAACCAAAACTATGATGAACTTAAGTCCTTTGAGTAAAGTCATATGTATAGCAAAAACTGTACTTTTGCTTAAAGAATGACTGCTTTTTTGAGTCCCTATGGTTTGGGAATCATTAGTGCTTACAATAGATATTACAAGACTATTAAATGTAGTGTTTGACAAGCTGTGTATTGACTGTACTGTGAATTTGTATACCAAGTAGAGTGTGGGGGAGTAAGGAAACTACTACTACCATTATTATAAAGGCCTGTGGGCCTGATGACCAACAAACCCAAACTGACTTCTGGTGATCTCCACACATACTTCCCTGAGCACTTGGCCCAGGTTGTCTAACCATCATTCCTTAAACCAATTCTGTTGAAAATTCTGTAGCCAGCTGAAACCAGTTTTTCTCTTAAATCACTGTGATTTAAAAATATTGGTCATAGAACCAGAGTGCTTGGGTTCAAATTTCACTCTACCATTCATGGACTTGGTGACTTTGAACAGATCACTTAACTTCTCTGTGCCTCAGCTTCCTTATCCTCATAAGGTCATTATCAGGATAAATGAGTCAGTACATGTAGAGTGCTTAGAACAGGGCCTGACTCGTGTGTTACTTAGAAGTGCATGTTAAAATCACTTGTATATAGGGGTCTCCTAATTATCTGTTTTGTTAATTGAATTCTAGCTTACTTGCACTTTGTCAGAGAACCTTCTCAGAAGTTTCTGTCCTTTGGAGTTTGTTGATACATTGCTCAGTCTATATTAATTTTTTGGTAGAAATTTCATGTGCACTTGAAATCTGTATCCTGTCTTGTTGGGTAGTGTCAGTTAGGTCAAAGTTGTTAACTGTATTGTTTAAATTCTCTATATCTTAAATGACTATTTTGTCTGCTTGTTCTTAGAATTACTAAGAAATGTGTGTTAATATTTCCCCTATTTGCTTTTGAATTACTTTAAGTACCTTAAGTAATTAGCTAATGCAAATCAGGGTTTTGTATCCATCAAAGTACTAAAATTGCTCTTGTCAAAGTCACCAGTGACCTCCATGTTGCAGAATCCAATGATAATTTCTCAGTCTTCATCTTTCTGGGATACCTCAATAGCATTGGACATAGTTCATCACTCCCTCCACTTTGATACATTTTCTTAGGTTTGCCTTTCAGTTTTCTTATCAAACTCTTGGCTCCTTTTGTAAAATAATTTTTTCACTGATTTGTCCTTATTTCTCTGCTTTATCTGTATGTATTCATTTCCTAGATCATTTCACCCACGCTGATGGCTTTAAATACCATTTACATGATAAGAATTCCCAAATTAGTATCTCCAGCTACAGCCATTCCTCCTGAACTCCCAAATTGTGTCTATTCCATGGTTTCACTTCAATATGTGATAGTGGCTCAAAACTCAGTATGTCCCAAACTGAGCTCCTGGTACTCTAACCCCAAATTGCTTTAACCATGAGTTTTCCCATCTGAGTTAATGGGAAATAGCAATTCGTGTCTTCTAGTTGCTCAGACCAAAAGCTTTGGAGTTCCTTGACTTCTTTCTTTCTGCCATACCCCATATTTAATCCATCAGGGAATCTGTTGACTTTACCTTCAAAACATATCTAAAAGTTGACCATTTTTCACTACCTCCAGTGCTATCACACTAGTCCAGGTTACTATTGTCTCTTAACCTGGACAAGAGCTTTTTGATCACTTACATCCTTCTGTCTTTGCCCCTACAGTCCATTTCCTCCTTTTTTATTATGTGTTAGTTTCAGGTGTACAGCTTAGTGATTAGACAATCAAATACTTTACATAATGTTCCCCTCAATATTTCTAGTACCCCAACTGGCACCATACATAGTTATCCCAATATTATTGACTATATTTCCTATGCTTTACTTACATCCCTGTGACTATTTTGTAGCTACCAAATTATGCTTTATAATCCCTTCATCTCTTTCACTCAGTCCCCCAAAATCCCTCTCCTCTGGCAACCACCAGTTTTGAAATTCCATACTGTTTTCCACAGTGGCTGCACCAGTTTGCACTCTCACCAGCAGTGCACTAGGGTTCCCTTTTCTCCACAACCTCTCTAGCACTCATTGTTTGTTGATTTGTTTATGATGGCCATTCTGATCAGTGTGAAGTGCTAGCTCATTGTGGTTTTAATTTGCATCTCTCTGATGGCTGGTGATGCTGAGCATTCTTTCATCTGTATGTCCTCCTTGGAAAAGTGTCTGTCAGGTCCTTTGACCATTTTTTCATTGGATTGTTTGTCTTCCTGGAATGGAGTCGTGAGAGTTCTTTATCTATTTTGGAGAGCAAACCCTTGTCCAAGGTATTATTTGCAAATATATTTTCTCATATGGTTGGTTCCCTTTTCATTTTGCTGATGTTTTATTTAGCCATGCAGAAGGTTTTTATTCTTTAAACAGACCAAGCACACTGTTTCCTTAGGGCCTTCTTTCATGCTATTCCTTCTGCTGGATCTCATGGTTGACTCTCTCACATCCTTCAGTTCTTTACTTAAAAGTCCCTTTCTCAGTGAGCCTTTCCTATCTAAAATTTAAGTGTCCCCACCCTCCACCAGCATATCATACCACTTTTCCTGATGTTATTTCTTTAGCATTTATCATAATCTAACATATTATATACATTATTTGTCTTGGTTAATTTCTTTCTCCAGTAGAGTGTAAACTACATGAAGGCAGGGATTTTTATCTTTTTTATTCACTGCTGTATCTTTAGCACCTAGAACAGGGCCTGGCACATAACAGGTGTTCAATTAAAATTTATTTAATGAATAATTTAACATGACTTTATTTATACCCATTAACCTAATAACTTGAGGTCCTGTTAGTTTGTAATGGGAAGGTACATATATATAATTACTGTATTGATATAAATTTGGCTTAGATTTCCATGTAATTCTGTCTTTTATTTTTAGGTTATTTTGTCTACATGATATATTACAACTAACATGATCTTCATAAGCCCACAAACCTGTGGAAGCCAGACAAGCTTATGGAACAATAGCAGGAAACAATCTTGA